CAGTTTCAGAAATGGCATATCCATCTTCCTGCCCAATGCTTCTTCTGCATGGGTTCTGGTAAATCCAATGAACTAACTAGTAGGGATATATGTTTAGTTTTTTAAATTTTCTTCAAGTTTTGGTTTAAGCCCTTAAATTTAAAAATATATTTTTAAGTTCCCTAATATTAATGCTATGAGTTTCATTTAACAGAACTGCTAGCAGATTTAAAAGGTAATCTTATAATTAAATACTAACAAGGCATACTTTAAATTTTAATTTTTTTAATCTAACTAGAAATTTCTCCCGATGCGATGCACAGGTGATGTGTGACTAGATATGATTAGATTTGAAATAAGTAAAATATCCATATAAGGTATAATACATACTTAGTTCAATTAGAATATGTTATTCTATTTGTATTCTTCACTTCTTATTGAAACAATTAGGATATGTTTTTCTTACTTCATGTTTTTTTGTGTATTTTTAAAAATATAGCATTTCTTTTATAAAGTAAAATAATTATAAAAAAGGCATATACATATGGGTTGTATTCATGGCCCCAATTATTCCAAGAAATTCTCATTTCTCCCCACCCAAAATATTCTTCTTTTTGCCGTGTATTTTTAAAAATGTAACTTTTATAATAAAAATAAGGCACACATACACGGAGAGAGAGCATATAGGCATAAAAATTTATTCTGCCATAAAAATATTAGATCTGTATAAAGTTGAATGGATTAAATTACTATTAATAACTGACTATAATTATATGAAAAAGTAATGTAAGAGACACAAGGATGCATGAAGCTGAAACAATTTTAGATGAGAAACAAAATATGGATCTGCAACCCGACCCATTTAAGTATTAATGGGTATTATGAGATTTTATAAGTATATTAGATGGATAGATAGTTTATTTTTATATTTTAAAGTAATTTTAAGCATTTAAAGAATTAGCTATCTGATAAAATTTTAAAATTTTAAACATCTATAAAAAATGATTATATTAAAAAAAATTAATTTAGAGGATGTTCCGTCAATATTGATTGCAAGATCACTATTTAGTCAACATTATTCATTAAATGAGACTAACAATGATAATGTTAAAAGATCAAAAATATATTTTTTAAACTTAAGGGGTTAAACTGAAATTTCGGCTAAACTTATAGAACCAAATGTCTGTTTTAATCAATAATTATTTCTCGGATTCTAAATATAAAATTCATTTTGTGGTATAAGTCTTATATTTAAAATTAGAAGAGTAAAAAATAAAAGTTGTACTATTAAAAGGAAACAAATTTAAAGAAATAAGTATATGGGGAAGTGGGGCATTAGAGTCCTCCACATGATTTGGTCATCTCAATTTCATGGACTAGCAAGTCAAAATTTCATGATTGCCAGATCCCATGGGAGCCACTTTAGGCAACCTTCCCTCTTTTTTTTTTTTTTAAAAAGTAACCTGCTTTTAATTATTTTTATGATCTTATTTATAAGATAGAGAGAGAAAGTGTTTTTTTTATCTTATTTGTAAGTTACTTTATTAAATTTTTAACATGAATGTACTATTTTCTCTTTTATTTATTATAGGTTAAACATTTATTTTTTTAAAAAAGTTTATATATTAAATAGGGGTAAAGTTAAAAAGTTATTATATTTTGATAGAAAGTCAATACAGTTTAAGATTTTCTTAGTTTATATAAAACATGCTGAAAAGTACCTTATAAATAAGATAATAAGAATATATAATTTCCACTACTATATATAGCTTGCTTTAATAATAAAATCTCCATAACCAACACGCTTCTATTTTGATAATTACTTTCCACAGCTAACATGCTTTTTTTTTTTCCTTTTGGCCAAAACAGCTAACATGCTTTTAATCTCCACCATCTCTAGTCTCTTTAAAAGCAGGGTCATTCTTAACGGAGTCTCCGCAGTCCGCACTGCGTAATTTTTTAATCCTTAAATATTTTTGGTCCCAACCAAAAAACTTTGAACATTTATTTACCAATAGATATTTGAAAAAGTCTACGGGATATGGAAAATATAGAAATTGAGTTCGCCAGCTCAATCCATTAAAAATAGTGGGTTGGATTAGCAGAATGAACTAGTTTTGAGACAAATATTTTTAGCTTGCATATGCTAACCTCGTAAATTGTTGTGAATTAGCTCACTTTTAAAAAAAATCTAAAAAAATATTTTAATTTTAATATAAAATTTATTATTTTTATTTAATTTAAATGTGGCTTTGATTATTGTTAAGAAATTATTCTAAACTTGATTTCTCCCTTTCTTTATCGACTTATCATTTATAAAATAGTTATAAAAAATAGATTATGTGTTTATATTCACAGGTTTCGGGGTTAATTTAATTATATAATTTTATTAGACATAAAAATAATTTAAATTAAAGTTCACAATTTAATTTAAAGACTTCAAAACAAATACTTGAAAACATAAATTTTTTTTTTTAAAAACATGGGTTGGCAGCCTAACTCATGAATCCGCCCCTAAAACGTCGGTCCATAAAGATGTGGAATTTGGAGCCCAGCCTATCAAAGTTGTGACCCGCGGTGAGTCAAACGGCCGCCTACAGGTCAACCTATATTGTTAGTTCACACGGTACAAGCATATTTCCAAAACAATACCTATTTATTATAAATAACTAATTTAATAAATTTTTTAATTTATTTAAATTAGTTAACTAATTTTAAGATTTGCCCTTTTTTTATCATGTTTTCTTTAAAAAAAGTTTTCAGTTTTTCATAATTTTTTTGGGGGTCCAAACAGTTTTTCATAATTTGACAATGAGTTTCTCAAAAATCAAGGCTATATAAACCAAACTTTTGTCCTGAAGAAGCTGGGGGCTTATTTCCAACCCAAAAACACCGGCTCAAAAAAAAAAAAAAAGGACACATCCTGAAACTAGTTAACTAATTTGAATAAATTAAAAAATTTATTAAATTAGTTATTTATAATAAATAGGTATTATTTTTTTAAATATCTTTACTAATTAAGTGTATTAGGTATAATTACCATTACTACAAAAATTATCTTGAAAAAAGTGAATAAATATGAAAGATAAAGTAAATTAGAATCTTATATTTAGAACTAAAATAAAAATCAAACAAACTCTTATATTAAGAACAAAAGTTCCTTGCTCTTCTTGTTGCATGAAATTAAACTTACTTATAATTATCATAATAAATTTGACAACATTATTAAATCAATAAGACAAATAAACATAATGCCGTACTTTTTAGCCCCCAGATTCATTCGTTATACAGATACGGCATGGAACAAGGAAAATTCCTAGCTGATCTTGATTATTTGCCTACCTCCCCTTTGTACAATAATAACAAACCTAATTTTTTTTCAATTTAAATATAAAATTTGAGTAGTATTTTTTATGTATCTTGTTGGCATGAAACATGGTCAAAATTATTGTAATTAAATTAATTCAGTTACATGCAAACATTTTTCATAAAGTATTAAATGCATCAAAGAAGATGCTCGCATCTTTGGAACAAAAATTGAAGATAAAAAAGGCTAGGTAATGTAATACTCCTCTAGTCCTTAATATAAGACTTATTTAACTAATTTGATTAGATCAAAAAAGTTAGGTAAGTTAGTTAATTATAAGAAATATGATATGTTTTTCCTAAAATACCATAATCATCTTTTTTAATATCTTCTCTCCCTCTTCTATTTGATTATGGTTGAGAGAATATCCATAAGGCTAATTTAGAGAAAATTGATAAATATAAAAAATATGTCTTATATTTAGAACCAAAACTACTCAATAATTAGGTCCTATATTAAGAACCGGAGGAGTATTTATATATCTCAATAATAATTTTTATTAATCTCACTTATTCTTTTTAAAAATACATATCACCCGCACTAAGCCTCACGTCACATCTATATTTTAATTATTATATTATATTATAGAGAAAAACTTAACAGAGTATTTTATTTAACGAGGTTACTCAAATATATGTCTGACACGAAATTATCGTCATAAACAATAATATAAAAATTTTACAAATTTAAAACCCTTTGTAATAATATCTATTTTAATATAATAATTATCTCAACACACAAAATTTAATTTGAGCCGCTAGCAGATCTTATGGGTTTGTCTGTATGCGAGCATCAGAGATTTCGGCTGGACAAGTGCTTATCTATTTAATTAGAAATTTATGCACGAATGGGATTGAGTTTAGCCAAAAGAGCTAATCCCACAACATGGCAAATCAAATTTAGAATCCCTACTAGTAGAGGTGTTCATATTTAGTATTCGATAGTGCCTCAAATAGGATTACCTGTAATAAGAAAATACATGTACCTAGAAAAATTTTTTTTATGTATTTAGTCACATGAATGATAAGATCAGATATAATGATATGTTAATCAGCGGTGACTATAAATATAAATTATTGAACACATAGCTTAAAAAAATTGAAGGAACGAGATCTTTAAAATTTAAACAATTAAGTCAGATACAAAATTTAAATTTTAATTATTTTCAAAAGCTTAAAGCACATATAGCGTAAAAGGACTTTTTTTTCCCCCTTTTGGGAACAAGACAAAAGGACATTAAATAAACAAGAGCTTACAAAGCAAATTGACTTTGCTGTCTCTAGAGAGAACCCGTGCACCATCGCCGTAGGTTTTTCCAATCTTTAAAAGAGTTTTGTTCCTTTTTCAACTGAAAATTGAAACAATAAATAAAAGCAAAGCTTGACTTGCTCTCCCCAGTTTCATTGACTTGCGTGGACGAGCTTCTCTTCATCCATCCTCAAGCTTCTTTAGATCTGCCTTGCATTTCGTCCCACCTCATTTCCTCCGTTGCCTTGCATCTTGAGTATTTTCCCCCAAATTCTGTATATTTGATACGTTTTACTATTGTATTTTCCCCCATATCGATGGTAAATGTTTGAGTTCGATATGAGATTTTGGATCTTCTGGATCTCATTTGATTCCAACAAGAAATTGAAAAGTCTCCGCAATTTCAATGCCTTAAGTCGACCTTCCCCATCATCAACCATCTCTTTCTTTGCCAGCCACTGGAATATCTTCTCTCCCTCATGAGATTAAAGATTCTCCCCCACTCGCCGTTGAATTGAAATATACCGAATAAGAACTCCACAAGCTATAGTTGATGCCTCATTCCAACACCGCTAACAACTTCTTCACCCTTACCATGACGTCCATGGCCATGGCTTCCCACAAAATTTTGTTGCTCTTGCTTATCAGCTTCCTCTTTTCTCGTACAACTGAGGCACAGGTCACTTATCTTTACCACAACTGCTCTTCCAACAAAACCTTCACTGTCAATAGTGCTTTTCAATCGGACCGAATCAAACTCCTCTCTTCCTTAGCTTCTGCCAACACTGACTTCTCCAACGCCACCGTCATCGGCGGCGGCGACACCATCTATGGCCTCTTCATGTGCCGGGGTGACGTCAACCTCTCGATATGCCACCAATGTGTCGTGAACGCCACCCAACGATTATCTTCCGAGTGCAGAGTTTCGAAGGAGGCAATCATCTGGTACGACGAGTGCATGGTTCGCTATTCGAACCGTTCCTTCTTCGCCACCGTAGACACAAGGCCTAGACTCGGCCTCTTGAACACCGGCAATGCCACCCGGCCGAGCTTCTTACAGTTATTGTGGGACACGCTTAACTTTACGGCAGACGATGCAGCCAACGACGCTAAGAAATATGCCACAAGGCAAGCAAGCATATCTGGATACGGAACTATGTATTCTCTACTTCAGTGCACGCCTGACCTATCATCCCAAGATTGCAGAAAATGTCTGAGTGCTGTGATTGGAGACCTTTCATGGTGCTGTGTGGGAAAACAAGGAGGAAGAGTTCTATATCCCAGCTGCAACGTTCGCTATGAGTTCTATCCTTTCTATAATAACTCTGATGATCAGCCAGAAGCGACGACGCCTACACCGCCTGCGCTCCCTCCTCCAACAAATTCTCCAGATCCTCGAGGTAAATTCAACTTAAAAACAATTTTTATTGTTTGTTGAACAACTAATGCGCTTTTCTTATTTTTTTTTAAATGCGTATTTGGGTAAGTCTATTAAAGAAAAAGATTATGCTGATCTCGGCATCAAAATAAATTTTTAAAAAATAACATGACAGCTGGGGAAAATTGAATCTAATCAGAATGTGAATATGATCCCCTGGTCTTACGGGATACAGTCAATGATGTCATCGTTGAGAAGTGGAAGCATATGATGTTTTTGACTTTTTGCAGTAAAAGGGAAAGGTCAGTCAACAAGCACTATTGTGATAGTTGTGGTTTCTTTTGTTGGTGGTCTGGGGATATTTCTTTGTGTCGCCTACTATCTCTCAAAGAGTCTAATCAAGAAGAGACGCAGCGCTCTTCTCAGACAAAAATACTGTAAGCAGTTTTCGTTCTCAAACAAATTTTTATTTCCTCATAAAATTTGGCTCGTCCAAACAGCTTTTGTATCGATGCTTTTGTCGCTTTCAGCATCATTTACTATTTTTTATGTGTCTAGTTGGAAATGAAGGCAATAATTTAGAGCCTCTACAATTTAGTTTGGCCACTATTGAAGCTGCAACAAATAAGTTTTCGCATGAAAAATGTTTAGGCCAAGGTGGATTTGGACAAGTTTACAAGGTAACACATGTCATCAATATAAATGTTACACATAGACACATATAAGCACACATGTATACGTGTTTCTTCACTTTTAATCTAATCATCAATGGTTCTAGGGTGTTCTTTCAAATGGTCAAGAAATAGCTGTCAAGAGACTTTCAAAAAATTCTTGTCAAGGTGGAGAAGAATTCAAGAATGAGGTTTTATTGATTGCCAAACTTCAACACAGAAATTTGGTGGCCTTGCTTGGATTTTGCATAGAAGAACAAGAGAAAATCCTCGTTTATGAATATGTTCCGAACAAAAGCCTCGACTACTTTCTATTTGGTTTGACAATCTATACCTTCTTTAACTCTTAGTGAAATTTGTAGTTCATGCTATCAGATGTATGTTGGGGTTAATTGCCTATACATAGATTACCTTTATTTTGTCTTTACATATATAGTTACTCACAACAAATTAATGTACAGGCTCCCAAAAAGGCAAAGTATTAAATTGGGTTGAGCGTTGTAAAATCATTGGAGGAGTTGCTCGAGGAACTCTTTATCTTCATGAATATTCTCGTCTCAAAATTATACATCGTGATCTCAAACCAAGCAATATTTTATTAGATGATGAAGTGAATCCAAAAATCTCAGATTTTGGATTAGCTAAAATGGTTGCTATCAACACAAATGAAGGAAGTACAAATAGAATAGTTGGGACATAGTAAGTTCTAAATCTTTTCTCTTTAAGCTCTACATCTATTTTGATATTGTTGAATTGAATAAAGCAAAATAAGTGTTCCTAAGTTGAGATTGAAAAATTTACATCTCAACTAATGTCCTTATTATGTATTGTATGAAAACTTTATTATTGATTTTTTTTTCAGTGGTTATATGTCTCCAGAATATGCAATGTACGGACAATATTCTGAAAAATCAGATGTTTTTAGTTTTGGAGTCATAATGTTAGAGATTATCAGTGGAAAGAAGAATACAAGTCGTCATAGCCAATCACAGCATGCTGATGGCCTATTGAGCTATGTAAGTTATGATAATGTTTCTATATATAAAAGATTATTTTAACAATATTCTATAACTTTGTAAAATGGTGATAATTAGCTCTCCTTGATTGTCATAGGCCTGGAAGCAATGGAAGGAGGAAAAGTTGCTGGAGATATTAGATTCGAATATAAAAGAATTTGGATCATATAATGAAGTGATCAAGTGCATCCAGATTGGCTTGTTATGTGTTCAAGAAGATCCAGATACAAGACCCACAATGGCTGCGGTTGTTTCCTATCTTAGTAATGATTCCATTCAGCTGCCATTGCCAGAGGAACCTGCATTCTTTCTAGACGGTAGAATGGGGCCCAGTACCAGTGGAAGTAAGGAATCAGGCTCGACCATTGAAGTGTCTATGAGTGAATTCTTTCCTCGTTAATTAGGACCATGCTTTCATTTCTTCTCTTTCTTCAACACCCTACAAGAGACGAGCATTCTTATTTTAGGCACAAAAATTGAGATTTACAATTTATACTGTGCGAACGCTTATCCATACTATTCCATCGTAATTATTTAAAGGGACAAGTGATATTTTCTCCATGCATGACGTTAGTTTTTATAATGTTATTCTAATCATTTTTTATTCGGTTTTTATTCTATTCGACACAATAACAAAGTCCTAAGGCTCTCCGTTTGGTACTTGGGAATCTTGACACAGAGAATGGAATGGAACAACGATTCCTTGTTGAAGATGTTTGATACATGACTTAAATTCTCTGAGAATCAGATTTAATTTCAGCTAGAAGTCTTGAAACCCGGCCAATTCCTCCGTTCTTACGATGGAATCAAGACCTAGATGTCCAGAACTCCAGACAGATGTTCTTGTTATGATTGGATAAAAATTTATTAATAATATTAATTTGTTTTCATTCTTGGTTATAATTCAGAATATAAATGCAATGTTCGAATTCTGAAAATTCATCACAATAGGCCTCTTGAGCTATATGAGTTGTAACAAAAAGTATTTTCTTTCATATTACTATTTCTTATGCAATCATCATTATATCCCAGCCTTCAGATATGAGAATAGAATATTTACCAATATCATCATTAATAAAAAAACTCCGTCTATATAGTATAGCTGGTTCCAAGCCCGAATAAAAGATGAAAGTTGTGTTAGGTCCTCGTAACTAACATAAAACCCCGTCAAATTTTACTAACATGGATCGTAAGTTAATAAAGAGATGACAACCGATGATTCAAGCATCTTGTTATGCATGCTTGGTGGCAATGAAGAAAATTTTTCCATAATTGGACTCACATGAAAAAAGGATTTGGATCATGCAATGAAGTGACTAAGTGCATCCAAATTGATTTTGTTGGGTTTGAGAAAATCCAAAAAAGCCCTGCGATGTACGCTAGTGGGGACTTTCAGGTTGGTTTCTCAGAGACTCGCTTTTAGGGGGCCTTGTTTTCTTTCTCGAAAACGATGATATAGAACCATTCAACGCATAGTTGAGAAAGTAGGCAAAATTAAAGCACATTAAATTTATAGGTGTCGTAAATGACTTTGTGATTGAATCGACCTGGAAACTTCCCCACCGCTGGGCCCCTCTTCCCATCAAAGCTAACCAAATATCAGAGTCTCAGAGCAGTTGGTTGGGAGCAGATTCTCTCAGCTCATTTTTCTCAGTATCCTCAGAAGCTGAGCTGAGCCATTAATTCATTACGGGTGTGTTTGGATTGGTGTTAAGTAAAACTGACTTCTAGTCTAAATGATTTTTGTAACTGAAGTTAGAGTAACAATCAGTTAGTGTAATACGATTTATATTTAGATAAGTGTTTATAAAAAGACAATTAGAAAAATTAAAAGTTGTTTGGATGATTAATAAAAAAGTAAGTTTAGATGTATGAAAAGCACATAAAATTTATCGAATGTTAATGTTTTATATTATATGATATTAGTATGATAATTGTTAAAAAAGTAATTAAAATTATAATCATAAAATAAAAATATCTTTTGGCGAGAAAATTTTGAACATACATAGAATATAATTAAATACATATAATTAATTTGAGAAGATTAGAAAATTTAAATAAATTATTTTGAAATATTTATATTTATTTTTTTTCAAATTAATTTGCTTGACCTATAAACTAATATGTAGTCTAATAATATGTATAGGTATTTTTGAGAAATCATGTAATATAAAATATAATTAAATAATTTATTTAGCTTTTTAAATTTTTTAAATTAATCTATTGAATCTTATATAAAAGCATTCTCTTTCTGGGACAAAAAAGTAAAAGCATTTTGTTATTCACCCATGTGCACCCTATCAATTACGTTGCAAAAGTCACTTTCCGGAGCGTTTGGAAAAAAAGTCAATTTAAAACACAAGTTCGGGCCTGTTTGTTTCAGCGTTTCAGTGGGAGAAAAGTAGTTTATGGAGCCAAAACGTACGATTGTGTAAGTGGGATAACTTTGCAAACTTTTCCTACATCGTGGCTGTCTAATTTTGTTGCTTTTAAAACGCACTGAACCCTTAATTGCGAACATGACGTCGATCTTCTGCAAACTTTATCAGAAACAAAATTACCAAAGGAACATTTTACTGAAAGTAAATTACTTTGGAGGAATTACAACCAAGTCCCACAAAAGAGAAATAATTACCGAAAGATCTCAATAACAACCTCAACGCCTATAATAACAAGTCCTATAGTGAGAATAACAACTTCTAGGACTTATTTTTTAATTATTTTCCTTACTTGGGACCTCATTGTAATTCTCCCAATTACTTTCATGGCTTAGGTACTATTCCAGGTAAAATTAGTTCCACGTCATTTTTGAGGTAGACATGGGGTGAAATCCAAATAACATAAAAATCAAATTAATCAACGATACTCATAAAATTTTTCATGTTTTTAATTTCTTTCTCCTTAATTATTTTTCATGATTTGTTATATGTCAATTAAAGTAAATAATAATTAAAAATAAAGGTTATTAAATTTAAGAGAATAGAAAATTTTAGATATAAAAATAAATTTGAATAATATTATATATCTAAATATATTATTTAAGAAATTGAAATTGATAACAATTTAAGAAAAATATTTATAAATTTTTTAATTTTATTAATTGAAATCAATTAAAATATTTTATTTACATTTAAATATATTTACAAAAATATATTTTTTGACCATATAAAAATATAGATTGAAAATTTGTAAAACAAAAAGTAAATAAATAAATATTTAAAAAAACAGAGGAAAATCCAGCTGAAAGCCGCAGAAAGGCAAAAATGAAAATTAACTACTCCTAGCATTATCCATGCAAACGAATAATTTGGTTTCATTGTTTGTTTAGATAAAGAAAATATTTTGGATTAGTAATAAATGGTTTTGATTTGATTTGAATAATTTATTTTGTAAATATTGATGAGAAAAAAAATTATATAGTACTACCTCCAATCCTAAATATAAGAGTCAGTTAACTAATTGAGTAGATTAAGAAAATAATTTTAGTTAGTTATTTGTAATAAATAAGTATTTTTTTCTTAAGATGTATTTGCTAATCAAGTGTATTAACTAGAATTACCATTATTAGAAGAACTATTATGAAAAAAATACAGAAATATGAGAGACAAAGTGGATTAGACTTTTATATTTAGGGTTAAAATAAAAGTCAAATGATGTTTTATATTAAGAACTAAAGGTAGTATAAATTAAGAAGATTATAAAAAATATTAAATGGACGTACGCTTGGCATTTCGTTTGCATGGATAATGCTAGCAGTCGGGATTTAACTAGGGTTAATTTGGTATTTTTAAAGTTATATTTTAGTGTTTGGTCCCCATAAAAACGTATAATGTTTAAGATCCTTCTCGGTAAACATTAGTTTTATTAGGCCCTTGTATCAAATTTTCCCTAAAATAATTTCTACATGAATTTGCAAGTTCGAAAATTTTTATGCCCCCGAGGAAATTTAAGGAGGCGAAAAGCCTTTTGATATTTTTAAAAAGAACTCAAATCACACCGTCATTTTAATTCCTTCAGCCTGAAATTTAAAACTAATAGTAGTAAGATAAAATGAACAAGACAAAGAACTTCCAATAAACAACAGAGTAAAACTAGAAATCTCCTCCCCCCCCCCACCCCACCCAAAAACGATCTTTCCATCTATCTCTCTGTGCATCTATTTACCCATATACACATTTCCTCTCGGGTAACATTACTCTATGAGCCCAGAAACTGCAGTGAAACTGATACTTTAAAAGCAATGAACATTAACCCCAACTCAGCATCAATATACTTCAGATTTCCACATGAATATAGAATGAACCACGAAACCTGGACAATTGAATATATAATTCTTTCCATTTTTCTGTTTGCTCCATGACTAGCATTACGAATTAAACCAGAAAATATGTAAATTAAACTGAAATAAGAAACAATATAATACACCATCGGGTGTTATAAATCTTCCTCTTGTGCGTACATTATGCCCAGGTCGATCGATCCTTAAACTAATCTGTTAATCTTCTACAATGTGTAATGGCGCTACAACCCCGACGATAAGGATTCACTGTTGTCTTCATACGACAATCATAATAGGATCGTCCCCTCAAACTGCATGGGATTGTGTTTGCCTTGAGAGCTTCATAGCTTATGAACTTGGGTCGGAAATCTTCGGATAATGATTCATTATTATTAGGGTTAGGGTTTGATTCATCGTCTTCTCCAGTAAAGTTTCCTTCTGCAGCATTACCTAAGCTCAAGTATTCTTCAGAGTTATCTGTAGTCGAAGCCTTAGCAACCACCATGGCCAAGAACAATATCAAGAAAACAATAAGGCAAGATTTAAAGTCCATTATTTTTTTTTAATGAGGGATCCTGTGTATATTGCTTGCAGCTTGCTGATACAGGAATGGAGGAAGGCTTCGGAGGATTGTATATGAAGATGAGTCAGTTCTGGGACTTGTGATTTTCCGAGATTTCTGTTTAAAAATGGAAGGCATATTGTCTTTCATAACAAAGACTAACTGAATTTAGAATGGAAATTGGTTTTATAGTTACTTGCTACTAGTTTCTTAAGTTGTATTCTTGTTATTTTTAAATCTGATTTTTATTTAATCTTGTGATTTGGCATTTAAGTTTGTTTCTTCATTCCTTAACTCGATGTAATTTGGTTTTGATTGGTTTCCTTAGTTTTGTCCAAAATTTAACATTTTATCCCCTTGACTCTATTTTCGTCGAATATGCTGTTATCCTTTTATTTTATTGGAAAATTTAATTTTTTTTCTAAGTATTTAATTTGATAGTATTAAATTAAATATTTACTCTTTTCATGTCTTCAAATATTCAAATAATTCATGTTTTGCAAAAAGATGGATTCAAAAATATTTTTTGGGGGGGGGGTATATAAAATGTGAGAAGTTTGAATTCTTTGATAGATACACGAGGGGAAAATGTACATAGGACAGGAACATACAAAATTTATATCCCCAGATTACGTTGTACTGAAATATATATCAATTCACGTTATGAAGTTGCAATAGGACCAAAATTTTTTCAAAAAAAATTGAATCGGGCATTTTAAGGACTAATCGTACTCCATATATGTGTTTTGGCTTGCGGGGGTATAATTTTAATCTTTGTTAATTTCTATAAATAAAAATCAGTTACTTTGAATAAAATTTAACTGTGGAGATCACATATGAAGAGATACTACTAAGTTGCCGAAAAAATAAAGAGAGGGAGAGGAAGAGGAAGATATAATTTGGGGAAAATATAGAAAAATGATTTTTGAATTTGAAAATTCCCAAATGCTCCCCCAGACAAGCAAAATTCCAGTTTAGATGCCGTTAACCAAACTGAGACTTCAAATTTATTGAAATGATCATGTTGCCTTTTAATTTATTATTTTAAAAAGTTTCAATTCAGTTAATCACGTTACAGGACTTAGAAAAAATTCAATTTGAAAATTTTATTTGGTTACTTATACCTAAATACAGTGAGATGCATAATTTGCATTAGGAGAAGCCAGCCATTTGATCCTCAAAATTCCGATACGGCGGGAGAAATTGACACCTGGCGATGGTGGGACGGTGGGTTTCTCCAGCATTTTTTTGGGCCAGTTCTTTATGGGTTGGATATATAGGTTGCCGAAAAGGAAAAGACCCAAAAAAAAAAAAAACACAAGAGACATGCAATTGAGATCCTAACCACGAAAAAGACAACTATGATGGGAGGAGAAAAGGTCCAAATTTCTATCACCCCTCTTATTTATTTATTTTTTTTTTTAAGAAATAATAAAACAAATTTAGAAATTGCACTCTCCCTAACTGATTGTATTTACTTATTATTTGACACTTTTTTAATTTTTAAGATAAGGAATTTTATACAATTTATTGAAAAATTTATATTTACATATTTAATTGTTTTGTTGCCGACTTCAAAATTTAAAGATAGAAATTAATAATTTTAATTAAGTGTGATTTAGAAATATTATTAATTTTTTTCTAAAAAATTAAGACTCTTAACTAATAACCACATATTTTTTTCAGGCGAGGAACCATTAAAACTATTAAGTATTAACTACCTTCTTATTGTAATTCCATAAAAACTATATTATAAATAGAATTAAAGAAGTACTCGCATCATCTTAGTGATAAATGTAAAATCTTTTGTAATTTTAGAAAGAGTATTAAAACCTCGTTCGGTTGCCTCCCGCGCCCCTAAAAATATAAGCGGAGACGAATAGTTTCCAAAAATTCAAATGATTCGACTGCTTAAACAGTTCAGATTTTCTCTTTGATTTGTATGATTGCGAAGCTTGTGAGGATTTGTCCTATTTTGCTGCTCTAATATCCAGTTGAAGGTTCCTTTTCTTGCTTCGAGTTTTAAATTTCCTTTTCCCGTCTCTGGTCTGGCTTTGTTTGACTTTTCCAGACGGTCGGAGGTGTGTTGTAGATTGTGATTTTCTGTTTTGCTTGTAATTTTCTTTCTCGATTTCTGGACATCGGTGCTGAAAACAGAGTCATGTTTTTCTTTTTTATTTTTCTCCCTGTTATTCTTGTTGATTATGATAGTTGCGATTACCTTTATGCATATGATATTCGGCAATTTCTTTTACTCTTTCTTTTTCTTGGCCAAATCGATTTTCCTGAAATGGTTGAAATGAAATATGCATGCTTGAATTAAGCAAGTGGGTAAGTTGGGCTGACCGTCTACTTTTTGTGAAGGCTTGGTTATGGTTCTTTTCTGAATTATGGCTTTGTTGGTTCTGATTATTGAATTTGTGTACCTGGTAATTTTACCGTGCTTCGCTATTTAACTTAATGTCTACCACTCAAGACTCAAGTTTCTAGTTGTTGAATGTATATACCTGGAAATTGTACTGTATTTCTAACTTCTTGGATGGATGGTTGATCTTTTCATTGGGATGATAGATACTGATTCCAGAATATTGCAAAGAAAATTGTAAAGATAAATCTTTTGGGAAGTTGTGGTTTTTCTTTCCCTTCTGCTGAAAATTGTATGATGAATTTAGCAAATGTCAGAAATAGGAAATTTTCTTTTTCTCGTATAATAAAATTTTATATTTACACTAACTTGTAGATTTTTTCATGTAATTTTTTTTTCTGGATAACCTGTCAACTCTTTATCCCCCTCACCCTACTATCCAAGGGCCACGGTGATTGGTAACTGTTTTCCTTTTGTTATTCAGTACTTTTGCCATTGTGAATCTTTAGCATTTTAGTCAGGTATTACTGTGAAAAGAGATTGTTTATAATGCTTCTAACCTAAAAATTAAGTTTGTTGAGTTATTATTTTAATCAAGAACGGTTTTAGGATTGCTAATTCTGCTGGTATACAAGTCTGTTATGTTATTTTGACTATCTATGAAGAATTCAATTGTTTCACATGTTATGAACATTAACATGTGCAAAAATATCATTTAGGCTTATGCATAGACAGAATGATTTTAAATTATTACTTGTATTGCTTTACATGTAATGATTGATAATTAATTCCCTATGTCAGAGGTTTCCTTTAAGTTATGAACATCTGGACCCACTCTTCAATTATTGGAATTATCCTTTTTTTGTTTTTTCCCTCCATCATCTTCTGCCAGGCAAGGTTTGCCTCTTTTAATGACCGGCTATGACTCTTTCTTCCTTTGATGTGTATAGTGATAATTTCATTTGACATGAGGTATATTTAAGGTTGTGTGATTTGGATACAGGAATATTGTAAACAAGATGAGTACTCATTCTGTTGGGGGCGATTCTCCTGGAAGTCAGCAAAGGGGTGCTGTCGTGGGCTTGGATCTTAATAGGGCTCCACCTCGTGCTAATCATTTGCAAGAGGGACCTTCAATTGTATCAGAATCTCGTGTAGTTCAAGCTGTCCAGCAACCACAGTTTATGCAGCCTATTGATGTGGAGGCTACTGATGATGATGTTATTGAATCTACACGAAGTGCTTTTGTTGAGGTATGCCTGTCCCTTGGATATAGTGCTGATTCGATATTGTCATTCTATGTTTGATTTTTGGAGGCTAACCTTATTTATGTGGTTCTTATTCAATTTAGGCTAGAAATAATTCAAGAAGAAATCGTGGGAGGACTATAATTGATGTGGATTTAGGTAGCATATTATTCAATCACTTTACCTTGTTGAGCATGTTTTCTTATTTGATGATAATCTCTACAACTATCTTGTTCATTAGAAAGGTTTTCCAAATCAGTATGATCAGATTACTTGCTCTCCACAATGTCTCATTTTTCGCTACCTTGTCCATTGGAAAGGATCCTTGGATTAGATGCTACTTAGAAGAATTCCTCGCTTAGTGTTGGAGTCATATAATGTGCTTTACTCTCTGGAAGAGAATTCCTTCAAGTAGGGAAGAACGATGGAATATAAGAATTAATAGATTTTGAGGAAACCTAACTTATTTTTGTATTTTATTTACTCTCTCTTAGATTACTTAATAGGAAGCAAAGCTTAGTTTATAAATAGCTTATGATAGCACTTGCGTAAAATAGACTTTGATGAATGAAAGAAATATGTTTACCTCACCTAGTATCTGATTCCTCTCTTCCTCCTCATCCTGTCTCTTCCCCCTCCTTTCTACACCTCTGTTCCTCTCTTGCCCTCTCCTGTTTCTATCACTCTCTTCCATAACTCTGCATTAGAGCAAGTGTGTGTGAGTGTATGTTGCATAAAAAATGCTTACCACTAGAATCCTGAGTTTTGATGGATTGGCATCTCTCACAGCTCTTGTCAACTCAGGTTGTCAAATCTTTTTTGATGACACACATATTCCTAAGATTGGTTGTGGTTAACATCTCTTTTTCATTCAAAATAATTGCAGATCATGTAAGTCAGGTGACTGAAATTTCTCCCAACGACTGCAGAGGAGATTCTCTGTGCCAAACAGTTCCTAATTGTGATGTATATATAAACTTGGAAGGAAGTAGCAGTTCTGAGGTATTAGAATGTTTCAATCTGTGTCGTATTTCATTTTAGCTTGTGATTGTTGTTTCTTTAATATTGCTTTGATTGACAATTGGCTATTGTTTTGAATAGACGTCAGTGTTCTGGTTAGTGTGCATTGTTCTTATTGTTGTTGTGATTGGTGAACGGCTATGCTTTATCCTGTAATATGTTGGGATTAGAGTGGTAAATTCTTAAAATACTTCAAAGAAACTTGAAAAGGAAGCAAAATGTTTAATGAAGAAAATTTTTTGTTCCTTACTCAAACTATAATTTACACAAAATTCTTTTTGACTTTTCTCTCATCCCTCATCCCTCACGCCACCCATTACTCTCACCATCTTGTCCGTGTGCATGCACTCTTTGCCTTGGCTTCTGATTCAAACTGCACACACTAATTCCCAAGTCCCATATTTATACCTCCTATATGTCCATTTTATCTTTGCAACCAGGTCCTTGTTGATTTTTCTTTTTCACCACTCCACACACAACCAACAATAAAGCTTTGGGAGGAACTTTAAAGGAAGAAGCTTATCATCTCTTTATTGGAAGGTTCATTTGGTTGTTTTAGTCCTAGTCAAGGGGATACTATATTTTGAAAGCTTCATTATGCCAGACATCTCTGATAGAGAAGTTCATGAACTCGAGCCCCTTTTACTTGTTCATGGACCAATTTGTCTTTCTCCTTTAGATATGCGTTTTAATTTTGAACACTAGCTTTTTTGATGTTTAGTCTTGCAATTCCCATTCATTCTTCTCTCAAAAGGTTGTTGTGTTCTCTTGGTGACCCAGCTATATTCCGTATGCAGTACATCATCTCAGCATAACTGGATTTTCTTTGTATTACCTGCTGAATCAAATTTTGACATTTTCCCCTTTTTCATTTCGCCATGGTTTCCACATTAGCTTTATTTATTTATTTTAAATAAGAAGTATTTTGTCCTAAAAAATAACATGTAAATTGTCAGTCTATTATAATAGTTATTGCGGACATGAACAAATAGAATCTTATACTGTGGAGATGTTTATGGAATTGAAATTGCTAACCTGATTATTCCATTTTGTAGAGGGAGGAAAATATAAAGTCAACTGAACCTCCAAAGGAGCCTGTCTTTCATTGCCCAATATGTACAAAACCATTTGTGGAAGAAGTGTTGACAAGGTGTGGTCATATATTTTGTAAGAGATGCATTAAGGATACTTTAAAAGCACAAGGCAAATGCCCTACATGTGAGCAGAAGGTTACTGCAAAAGGGCTCATAAGGGTGTTTCTACCATCAACTGGCTCTCCTTAAAATTAAATTGAGTTTAAAATCACCAAAATTCGAACTTTTGATACTGGCAGTTGGAACCCCAGTTGTTTCTTTGGGTAACAAGCTATATATTATATGATACTTCTGAATAACTTGGGCTGGAGATGGGTTTGGACACAACTATTTACTTCCTTCATGTTTCTTTAGCCCCAAATAGAATATGTTGGCCTAATTTTAAATTCGGATTCTTAAAAGATTATTTTTGCTCTTGGGTTTTCAGCCCAAGGAAAAAATCTCTCATAAAATGGGCCAGTTCTTATTTTCCACAAATTATTTAGCTTGTAAAATTCCGAACTTCTACACAATTGTATTCTTATTTAGCATGTCATATGACAAAGTTGGGGAAGAAAAAAAAATCAACACAGAACTGTGCAGTTTGGACCATAAAATCTCGGAAGAGAAATTGGCTAATGATTTTAAGGTAAAATTGTAACGACTGTACTACTGGCGTGCTCTGGACTGTAGCCCTCATTTTGCTATTATTCTGTTGTATTTATCTGTGCATCAAATCGCTCAAGAAAGCTCAGTTCGAACAAATACTGCATGATGGTGAAAATGTGAACATGAGAACTAAGAAAAATAACTTTTAATATAATCAATCAATTGTATATTGGGACAAAACATGTGCTGGTTTCGCAAATCCTCATAATTACTAGACCAAAAAAAGGCTTTTCTTCTATAGTCACTTAACATGAGTTATTGATGATATGATTTTCTTATGTTTTGTCACAAAATAAGATTCATTCCAAAGAAGACATGATAAGCTCTTGCATATAACTGATTCGCATTGGAGAGCTTTTGATGAATTATTACTGAGGTAAATGTGTCCTACTTCAGTTATTTCTGACTTTCTGCCTCTTATTACATGGAAACAAGGATTTTTTGCCTGATAAAGGAAATCCTCAGAATAAAGCAAAGCATAGCTGTTTGGTACATGGGAAATTTAAATTTAAATTTTGATATCTTGAATGCTATTAATGACATGATTAAATATAAGATATATATACAAATTTAAAACTAATGCGCCCTATATGTTCTCTAAATAAGGATGGTAGTTTTTTTTTTTTTTTTGGTGGAAGGATGGTAGTTCTTTTATATCCTCTTCTGTTAACCTTTTTGATGCTTTAGACTTATTACACAACCATATGCTTTTGTGTTTCTCTGTGATCTTTCATAACAGGACTCTTCAACTGCAGTATGTTTTCAGTGAATGCTGCTCTGATTTTTCTTAAGACTTCTAGAAGGAAGAGGAAGTAGACCAAAGCATAGTTAAAAGATAAGCTTTAATTTTAGCAAGTTTGAGGGCAAAAGTAATTGATTTCCACTTTCCAGGCACAAAGTTATGGCTTCTTGGAAGAACAATAAGCTTCTTTTTCATAGAGTCTACGTGCATTTGAGTTCAGTATATTTTGTTTAAGAATTTTCTTAGCATTTTATTTTGCTTTTCCCTATGTCTAATTTTCTTTTGCTGCCATGTAACTCGTGTTGTGCGCATTCATATTATACTTGAACATTTTTATTTGCCCATAGTTGTGTCTACATTTATAGATTTTAGTGCTTATACTTGATTGTCTTTGGTTCATAAGCTTGCTAAGATGCTTATTTATCAGAATGAATCCTTGTTCAATGTTTCATCTGCTGTACGTTTGGGCCAAGACAGAATAATATTTATCCAGCTTGATGTGATATTTATCTATACATGTAGAAGTCCTCTATATTTCAAGTTAATTTGTTATACTGAAAGTCAATATTACATTATGTATCATGCTAATCCTTAGGAGTATGAAAGCTAGTAATACCATATGCTAGTGGACCTATTATTGTTAATTCTTAGTTCGTGCTGGGGTAGAAATACAGTTAGTTACTATATACTCATCTGTGATTCTGTGTCATAAGGAATTTACTTGTGTTGTGAAAAATGTACCAAGAGACCAAAATGATGGGCAGAAACTTGTGTTGACGCAGTTGGTATTATGTGCTGCATTTAGTATCGTGGGAAGGTTTGTGAAAAGACTGCTTAAAGGCTATAGTCCTTTGAATTCATCCACCTTATTGAGATGTACCATTTTTTTTTTGGGGAGTGTTCTGCAGGCATGTTTTATATATTGGAAGGTATATGCCATAGATGAAAGGAATAGAAGTGCTGTGTCTTACTTCAAAAGAATAAAAGTGGTTCGGGGTTTGATTGTCAACTCTTGTATATAAAGCAAACCTAATTGGAAAGAGTCTAACCTTTGGCCTCATCGCACCCCGAGAGAGATTAGTCTCTATTGTTTGCAGAAAATACTTTTAGTGTCACAAAAAAAGAGAAAAGATTTCTCCTTCTTACTTTTGTTGCAACTTTGTTGAGCTTCTGAAGCATTTATTAAAAAACAGAAGTGAAAACCAGGAAGCTTTGAGATAATAGTCCATTATGGGTATATTAGTTGAGGGGTTTTGCACTTGTAGTTTATGAACATGCATGGATTGATTTTTATGGTGAGTGGGAACATTTAGACAATTTTGAAAGCAGCATTAAATTTATGCACTCGGCGCCTATGTAAAGCAGAAATGAAGATTGCCAGTAGACTGACTATATGATGTGCAAAATCAGATCATATTTGAAGGCCTGGAGGAACATGATGAATAATGAAAAGGGAATAATCCTGTAGTGTAATTTGGGAAATCTATTTTGGTGGAGGAATAAGTGTTTGTGTTGTGCCACTTCCCTGCTCATGGCATTAAACATTAAAAGCCAGCTTGAAGAGATGCACATAGTAGTTCCATGCCTATGTTACGAATTTCAGTAGCAACAAATCCTTGAAACAGCAAGATCTTGTAATGCAGGAACGGTTTGTGTAGGTAGAAATGCTAATCACACTTACTTAAATTTAGGAACCACTTGACACAGTTTTTTTCTAATTAAAAAACCCATTCACTTTTTTAATAATTAATATTAATGAAATACATATTGGGCTTAGCCCATTAATTCACCATGTATAGGCATAAAACCTAACATTTCCGATAAGAAAACCACAAAGAATGTACTTTGAAATAAGATTTGGTTCTAGAAAATGAGTTAATTTCTCATCATATGACAAATTAAGGTACGAATTCCACCTAAAACTGGAAAAAATGCCCACATTTAGGTCCTATTTGATATGAAGTATTGAAAGCCAAAGATTAAGATTGGAACTGGAAATGCCCACTAAAAGTGTGTTTGGTATGTAAAATTGTTTGTTATTTGAGATTGAGTACCTAGTGGAATTGGAGAATATTATGAGAGGAGGTGGTATTAGAAATTTAATCGTAGGATTGGAATTTTTTCGCACCAAATGCCCTCCCCTCCAAATAACGAGGGCTTTCTTAATAATGATATTATTATAGTCATGTTGCAATTTACAATTAATTCTAAAAAAAAGTTGATGCAATGATTCCTTCTAAATATTATTTTAAAACTCATTCCCACTCCTAATCCCCCCCCAACATCTAATCCCGTTTTCATTCCCAATCCATCAAAATTGAAACCTACCAAACATGACCTTAATGCCCATTAATACTTCGAATATGATTGTTTCCAATAAGAGGATATTTATACTTAGAGGGAAAAAGACCAACAACATATTGGTATTATGGCAAATGGTGAAATTTTTATAATGAATGGGTAATTTTTGAAGTGTTTAGAGAATTTTTTAAAATAAATTTTAGAATGTAAAAAGATATTTTAAGTCTATATTTTTATGCTAAACTTTTACATAGCCAACATTTTTCAAAGGTTAAAAATCATTTTTGTCTCAGAAGTTTTTGCGAAAGAGCTAAGTACCCAAAAGTTTTCTTAAGAGCAGTGTTGCCCAAGTTGAAAAATCATAGCAATGTCAACCTTATCCTAGCAAACTTAAATGGTCAATGGGTAGTTGACCCAACATGCTAAGGTGGTTATGCTACATAGGATATCATACCATGTGTTATTATTCTTTCCTTCACTCTGTTTTCCCTTTTGTAGCCGTTCTTCCTCTTTCAATACCAATCTTCTAGGCCCACACAATCTGATAGTCACTTTTTTTGCCCCCCAAATAGAAGAAGGTTTCATTGATAAAAAAATTATGTACAAATTCAATTCCAATATAAAGAGTGCTAAAGTCAACAATTGGTGCAAGTAATTAAATACAAAATCATGCAACAAGCAAGTTAGTAAAGATGACTACAAAAATCCTTTGCCTTCTTGATATGATCAGTAAAGGGAATAGCCTCATTGACTAGCCTATAGTTGTGGACTCTTTCTTTATTGAAGATAAAATTATTCCATGCATTCCATAGCTTCCAACATAGAATTTCAAACATGACACACCATCATGTATTACTTTTCCTACAAATGAGATTTTCTTTAAACCACTCCCTTAAGCATAGCGAATTGAAAAACACCAAGTATGAAGAGAGAATAGTCGATTTCCAACATTCTGCAGCTGAACTACATCGTCTTAGAATATGATTGATGTCTTAAATACTAGAGTACCAGACTTCATAGGTAGAACTACTTGCCATGTGCCTTCTTGTCCTCTCCCAATTTGTCAATAGCTTCCCCCCATCATTAACCAAAGAAAAGTCCTTACTCGGTTAGGTCCTGGCCAACGCCACACTAAATCCCATTTGCTGTCTTCATCATTTAGTTCATGTTGGACAAGTAAGCTATAGATTGATTGTACTATAACTTTGCCATTGCTTTCTAGATGCCAAGTGCATCTTGCTAGTGGATTAACACCTGTGGACACAAGTGGTATAATATGTTTGGGGGAAGTTTGTTTGCAAATTGCTTCCAATCTCATTGGCCATTAGAGGTGACAAAATGGTAGATTGGTATGCATAATTTGGTGTCATTTAATGGCACAAAAGGTAAATGCTTCGGTGATCCGTCCCGGACAGTGTCTACTAGCCATCTCCAATACTCTACTTGACACCCAATATTGCATCTGACCAGATTAATTAAAAGGCTTCTTCATAGGTGTGAAGCTATCTTAACTTGAGGCAACTTATTGCAATTAGGGTGCCACCCATATTTTTCCCCAAGTATTTTAATTTGCAAAAGATCCAATTTTAACATAATTGCTACAACTAATTTAATTAGAAAGGTTGAGTTTTGCTGCACCAGATTTTTTATACCATACCCACCACATTTTTTTAGTTGACAAACATCACTTTATTTGACTAAGGGAATACCTCTACGATCTTCAGTAGACCCCCAAATGAAGTTGTGTATGAGACTTTATAGCTTGGACTTGGTTAAAGCTAAGAGTCTAGTAGTTTACGTCACATTCAACAGTATCACAGAAAGCATTGATTGCATAGAGACTTACACCAAGGTGATCCTACTAGCAAGAGACAAGGATC